ATCCTGATATAGTTCTCCTAGATGACAGATTGCTCCTTCAATCACCATTTCATATATTTGATAAGGACATCAGAATAGAGGTCTCACAATCATTGTGGTGGCCACCCCACATGGAAACACCCTTCGGGAAAGAAGGGAAAGGAAAAAATATGAGAAACGGAAACAAAGTCTTTGCAAATAGAAAGAGGTGGAAAGGTTGAAGGGAGGGCAGGGGAATGGGGAAAAAATAAGATATATCATGTAAAGGTACAAATCCTCAATGATGAATGTTATCATATACCTAAAATGTACCAATAAACTTAATGAATAAAAAACCTTCTAATGATTTTTCTGAATCCTTAAGATTATATAATATTTTAACCCAATTATAAAACAATAACCCACTTTAAAGTGGCAAAAGAGCGGAACAGACATTTCTACAATAAAACCTAGAAATGGTCAACAAGTACATGAAAAACTGTATAATACCATTAGCTATGGGGGCAATGTAAATGAAAACACATAAAGACACACCATTTCACATCCACTAGGGTGACTACAATCAACACAATAAGCATTAGCAAACATGTTAAGAACTTGGAACTTTTATACACTACTGATGAATATAAAAAGTCACAATTCTTTGGGAACAATGTGGAAGTTTCTCAGAAGGTTACACATTGAGTTATATAGCCTAACATTTCTACTTCTAGGTAGATACTCAAGGGAACTGAAAACATATGCCCACTCAAAAACTTGTATACAAATGTTAATATTGGGATTATGCAAAAAGTGCAAACAAACCCAATGTCCATTTACTGAAGGATAAACAAATCTATATCCCTTCAATGAACTATTGTTCAAAAATAAAAAGAAATGGAATACTGATGCATAATACAACGTGTAAACTTTGAAAACATTGTGCTAAGTGAAAGAAGCCAATTATAAACTACATAGTTTAAGATTTCATGCATATAAAATATCCAGGAGCAAATCCATAGTGATGCAGATTAGTGTTTGCCAATAGCCAGGAGTAAGAGATGATGAGGAAGGACTGCTCAAAGGTTCAAGGTTTCTTTCTGGTATGATAAAAATCTTTTAAAGTTGTGATGATACTTGTACAACTCTGTGAAAACACTGAAAACCACTGACTTGTTAAAGAACAACCAAAAAAGTACATGGCATTCTTCAATCTGATCAAGAACCCCTTTCTGACATTCTAAATACCTAGCACCACAATGTTTCATAAATAGATCAGAAAAGTGGTTTCTCCATTGGACAAGATAAAATATTCTGTCTGGAATAATTGCCACCTTTAGAACTGATGTCCATTTAGTCAGAGATATTTTAAATTTTTCTGTCAGTGGGTGTGGTGTCGCACACATGTACTCCCAGAACTCTGGGAGGTGGAGGCAAGAAGATTGCAAGATTAAGCCCCGCCTGGGCAATTTAGCAATTTAGCAAGACCCTGTCTCAGAATAATAAAGTAAAAAATAAGTGGGGGATGTAGCTCAGTACAAAGACGCTGGGTTCAATCCTCCATACTAAAAAAACAAAACTAAAAAAGAAACTTTCAAACAATCAGTGATAAATTTCAAAATGTCTATATTTTATTTCCAAGAGCTTATCATCTACGACATATGCAAAAAATGGATGTTACATGAAACTGCTTATATTTATGGAAAAAGCAGGCTACAATATATGCAATTATAAAGAAATATCTATTTACATGCAAAAAGTCCTAGAATGAGGTAGGCACATGATAGCAGTAGTTCTTTAAAGATGTCAGAATCCTAAGTAATGTTTTAAAGTTTTCAATAAAGTTCTCATTTTTTTAGAGATTTTAAAAAATGTTTCAGTAAAAATAGGAAGAAGCTTTTCCTACATTATTGGTCATAAGCCAGAAATAAGTCCTTAAATTGGGTTCATTCCACAGAGTTTATAATCCTAGAAAATGTTTGACTTTCTTTATTGGTCCAAAAGACGTGATTAAAAATAATACTTATATGGACTCCTCAGGAATCCTGTGCAAATGCTCTCAAGCTTGATCCAGGGAGACCTCCTCTGGAGACGAGGGAGAAGTTCAGTCCAGAATTCAAACCGCAGGCTTTGCCTGAACCACTCCAGTGAAGAAAAAGCCTCTCATAAAATACTTGAGTCCGCATCTCTGTATCTAGCTTATGCTAACCAACCACCAGAAGCAACATAATCAACCATCACAATTTATGAAATAACGGGGAAGAAATTCTCATCAGAATCATCAAAACATGCAGAGCTAATTACTTGGGTCAAATCCATCTGCCCCAATTTATCTTGCCTGAAAACAAAAAATGTTCAGGAAAACATGCATTGCAAAATGAATTTGTGCTTCAGTAAAATGCTAGTGAAAACAATGACTGCTAATAACTCTTGGAAGATTAAGCTTATTTATTTATAAATATAACCATATTTCCTGATTTAACAATTTTTCTTAGCACCACTTTATTGCTGATACTGACTCTGTGTTTAAAATGTAGGCCATTACAAATTAAATATATATATATATACAAATGATATATATACAGAGGATCTTACTACAACCTATAATCAACCTCACTCATATTTGACCTATGCACAGCTCTACCATGGGTGTCTAGCATACAAAGAAATTCTAAAGTGTGTTCATATCTGCAGGAACTATACATAGTCTGTACATACACAGGGAATAAGTGGATAGCTATTGATAACACTAGCCTACCAAAACTACCAAAAGAGTCATTCCAGTGAATCTTTGATCACTATGTGATGGTTGCACTAGGGACATGGACTGAGCACTCCCCAAGGAAGGGCAGCATTTGCACAGGCACAAAAGAAGAAAGGTGTACTTTCAGCTGAGAGTGTGTACGAGCAAGTGCTTGGATGCAGCAGGATCCACCTCCTGCCTTGGGGAAAACTAAGTAAGTCAATGCAGGTGAAGACAGGAACAAGACAGAAAGTGCTACAGAGATAGTAGGCATATGACAGCGAGTCTTGAAATCCAGTCCAAGAACTGGCCATCACTTTCTAACAACCAGAAACCTTAGGCAGGAAAACCAGATGGTGTTGCATCAGTCAAGATTCAAAGTAATAAATCCTGAACCCACATGATAGAACTGGGAATGGAAAGAAAAGAATCTGGAAACTTTTGCCTAAAAGAGAGAAATATAAATAAAAGAATTTGGCCTTTGCCCCACATCTAGCCCACTATTTAGGGAAAGGGTTCAGATAGGTGTTTGATGAAGAAATGAGTCCTGCCAAAACACACGTGGGCATATGAGTGTCCAGGTGAGAGGGCTGGCCAACTACTTTGTGGTTCAGGAGGTTGTATAAGGTACCTCCGCTAGACTGCTATCCACCTTCTTTCTAGAAGTTGACTTTGTCTTTTCTTATTTTAATGTTGTGGTGGTACCCACAAGTTATCATTTTTCTCAACATAAGCAGCAAAGATATATTTCAAAGACCAGATATGAGTCACTCTCTTGTCATTATCCTCTTATATTTTTTAAATGCGACATACAGAACCATAAACGTGAAGAACATATAATTTAGTGGTGATTCTGTGTTGCCAAAAAGCAAAAGCCATACATGAGATTACTTTAAGTAACAAAGTTCTTCAGATTCAATATGAAGTTCCTACAATTAACATTACTATCTGGGTTTTTTCCAATCATACCATTGCAGTTCACTCACACACATGCGCGCATGCACACACACACACGCAAATACACTCATAGGCTACTGATCACATAAGCCCTCCTTTTGGTGCCATTGGTCAAGATATTAATAATCTTCAATTACTTCATGAAACTTTTTGTAGAAATTAGGCTATATAAATGTGTATCCCTATCACCTTATTGAAACTCTTAGACCAAAAAGAAAGCCTAAGATTTGTGAAGCAAAAGTTGTGTTTCTAATTTCTTAACAAAATCACTTAATCTCTTATATCCAAAATTCCTGGTAGAACATTATGTTTGAAGCACAGTAAAGCAAGGAAGCAAGAAAGGGCTGAGGTCTTACCATAAGTGCCAAATATTGTCTCTCAACTCTTTGGGGTTCTGAGCATTTCTTAAATTTCTCAAAACAAAAGACATTTCACCTTCATTTGTTTATATATTAAGTCACTAGTACAGAACATGTGTTACTCTAACAGGATGAAGGAGAGAACAAAGATTGCAATATGTTGAGTTATTTGTATGTTCCGTGCATTAGACAACAACTTCTTTATCTTTAGATGCCATGTAACATACAAGACTTGAAATGCAATGGTGGACAACCTCTGACTGTCCATGCTTTTATGAAACCCATCACTTAGTATGGAGGAGGTACAAATATATTAATCAATAGAGCTCTCAATAAATATGAAAGTACAAACTGGCCAGTGCTATGAAAGCAAGGTATATAATCTGTTGCTTTGAAAGTATAAAAAATGAAGAGCAACTGGGGTAGATGCTGGCAGAATTGAGTGCAATTAAAAAGGAGGATTCTGAAATAAAAAGTTATGTCTGAGCAAAACTGGAGTGTGCTAATTAATAGAACTGTATAATTCCCTACAGCAGAACCAGTAGAACCATAATAGTAATAAAAGCTATCAAGATAAAAAATTTCTTGAACTATAAAATGCAGTTAGTCAACTAATATATTCACATTATTATGAAAAGCTATCCTAGTGGCTTCTTTGTTTAATGTGAGAAAACCACCATGTAACCATTAATTAATATTCACCCCAAGCCAAAGCACTCTGGGGCCCCTGGGTACATTCGTAGAAGGAAAAGTGTGACTTGAGGTGGTAATTTAGCAATTTAAGTTTCCTGAACTGAGATGTCTTAATAATTTTGAGTAGGAAGCACTTCTGCTGTCCTTTTTGCTACTTCGTAAAGTAAAGCCCTTGCTCTACAGCAGGGATATTTAGGTCATTCCTGCAATCCTCTCCTCTCCCACGTGCTCCAGTCTTTGCCCAGTAGAAAGGGGCTCAGATTTGGGAGCTCTGAGGGGAAAGTACTCACTTCCTTTCCTCAAGCAGGGCGATCTCTTTTTTGACCTCATGGTATTCTTCTGCTATTTGGCAGTGCTGTTTGTACACCTGCATGGATTCTGCGGAGTCATGACAAGGTGGCAGAGGCTACATAAACAAGAAGAGGAAGAAGTGATCAGTTCATTTCTTTGCATCCGAATACATTACCAACAATTTTGCTCAGCTGATGTTCTTCAGAGGGAGATATTTTGCATGAAAGTAGCATTGTCAATGAACATTGAACAGAGTGTGGATGAGTCTGCTTGATTGAAGGTGGAGACATGGACTGATCCTCCCTACACACTGAACCCTGAAACCCATTACATGTCAGTTACCTGCCATGTGTTGGGGGAAAAATGTCTCTTAATAATTCTGCAATTCTCCCCAGAAATCTTAATCTGCTTTAGGAAAGGGCAGTTATGGGGAAATATTTTTGTTTCAATCACCCCATTCTGGATGTTTCAGTAGCTGGCAGGCATGATCTCCCCCTGCAGGGTAGAATAGCCCCACAAGAAGGACTCTTTTTCTGAAAAAAGCACCCAGCCTGGAGAAATGTTACCAGGCAAGAAATAATGCTTCCCAGAATTTACAAACCTGTATGAAAAACCAAACTCCAAATAATATGCTCATCATATGAGGACAATGAGAGTACAGATTTGTGTTTCTCCTTTTCTCCCATTCATGAGAGAAAAAACTCCAGCTTGGCAAACCTTTCTGAACACAAAATGGTAAAAACCCTGCTTCTAGAAATTATTTTTAGCTGGGTGGTGCATGCCTATAATCCTAGCACTCAAGAGGAAGAGGCAGGAGGATAGGAACATGAGTTAATTGTCTTTTTATTAAAGAGTTTTCATAATCACCCTTTTCACTTATTTATATAGTAAAATATGGAAATATTAATTCATTGATAAATAGGCTCTTCAATCCAACCTTTTCTTCACAATAGTCTATATATGTAGAGGATATGTCTGACTAGCTCCTATTCTCATCAATTTTATAATAACACTTGAGAGCTATGAATCGCTTATTATTTTTGTCCCCTCATATTCTTCAAAGACATAAATTTATTTGGGTGTCATATTTAAGGATCCTTCCCTGACAAGAAAGTAGAAGGGAGACTATTATTAGACCACAAGAAGGGAAGAGGGGGTGGGAGAGGAGACAGGGCGAGGGCGGGGAATAGGACCAGGACTGTGGTCAAAATACATTGTACACCCTGAAACTTTGCCCCAAAAGATGTGAAACTGGAGGCAACACGAGTCAGGGAGGGGTGATTAAAACATGTTACGTGAGTGTACACATCTCCCAACACGAAACTCAATCTGTATAACCAATATACACTAATTTAAAATGTGGGGAAAATTAATGTTATAAAAATTCAAAGCGTACTGTTTTCTTGAACTATAAGATGACCCCACTTATTTATCATGAAACCTCTGAGTAGAGATGTTCTAAAAGAAATAAAATTCTAAGTAGCTGTGTGCATGTATTGGAATGTCACACTAAACCCCATTAATGTGTACAATGAATATATTTATCAAAGAGGAAAATTTTTAAAAGATTTTAAAATTCCAAATAGACCAAATCTACCTGCATTTGAAACACTGTTATGACCCAGCTGGTGTGAGATCTAACAATAGCCATATTGTGTCGCCTCTTTCTCTGCAGCTCCGTGAACATATTCACAGCATAAACGGAGCCTATCAGAACCATTACCCTTTTCTATGTAGAAATAAACTGAAAGCCAGTGAATGGTAGTACTATAATCTAATTCATTCCCTACGAGGAAGCTGTTGCCAAAGGAATTCAGAACTCCTGGCTCCTCCAGTCTGTGTCCAGAAACCACCACCCACTCGCCAATTTTCACCTGTTCCATTGGCAAATTCCCAGGTACAACAGTCAGAGGAACGAAAGCAATGTACGCTGAGCTTCCCAGCCAAGCTGTTAAAACATCTGTGCCCCGCTAAAGGGTTTAACTACTGGCAGCCTCAGACGCTACACCGTATCCTGTCCTCAGGAATACCACACACGCCACACTCCGTACAAACGAGCCTTGCGTACACTTGCCACTTGGAAGTGTGTGAATCACAAATGCGGCATCGTTACCCACGTAATAAAAAGCCAGAAGGACTAGGGATTTAGCTCACTGGTTCCACTGCCTGCCCCGCAAGCACAAGGACCCGAGTTCGATACCGAGTACCAAAAAAAAAAAAAAAAAAAAAAAAAGCCAGAAGAATCTAGGATTCTCTATACCAGATTTGCATGCTTAAGGGAATCTACATGCAAACAGGTATAATTAAAAACTTTACAACTCACATATGTAATTATTTAGGCAGACAGAGCTTTCTTTTCCTCCCTCATCCCTCACTTGCCACTTTGTAAAGTTCTTTGAATAAGTGGGAATTTTTTCCATATTTTGTTGGCCTTCTTCATTGTGGGAAATTGAAAAGAATGAGCATAATGTTAAAGGCACACGAGGGTAGAAAGGTAGAATTTCAGAATATTTTGTTTTTGTTTTTGTTTTTTTGGTACTGGGGATCAAACTCAGGTTTTCAGAATATTTTTGATATCCTAATAAGCTCTTAGCAGGAAGATCATGTGACCTATATGTGATCATATTTTCAAGCTTTCCCACAATAAAAAAAAAGTGGCGGGGGGCGGACACCCGGCGGCTGATCACCAAGCCTCAGAACCTGAATGTCGCCTACGGGCCGCCCAGCAACTTCCTGGAGATCGAGATCGATGTGAGCAACCCGCAGGCGGTGGGAGTCGGCCGGGCCGCTTCACCACCTACAAGATCAGGGTCAAGGCAAATCTTCCTATTTTCAAGCTAAAGGAATCTACTGTTAGAAGAAGATACAGTGACTTTGAATGGCTACGAAGTGAATTAGAAAGAGAGAGCAAGGTTGTAGTTCCCCCACTCCCTGGGAAAGCATTTTTGCGTCAACTTCCTTTTAGAGGAGATGATGGAATATTTGACGACAGTTTTGTTGAGGAGAGGAAGCAAGGGCTGGAGCAGTTTATAAACAAGGTTGCTGGTCATCCTCTGGCACAGAATGAACGTTGCCTTCACATGTTTTTACAAGATGAAATAAGAGATAAAAGCTATACTCCATCTACAATAAGACATGCTTGAAATTTGGCAAGAGACAAAAACGTGACCCTTAATGATGTCTGTGCACCAGTGAAGACATTCTAACTACCCTTTAGCATGCTGTGCAGAAACTGGTATTCCACGCCTTCAGTACAGGAACACTCATGTGCTCGGTTTTGTTTGGCAGTTGACAAGTTACTTTGCTTTAGTGAAAATCTCTCATTCCAGCCTTTCTATATCAATAGCTCTTCCTTGCTGTTTTAATGTGGTATACACTATAGCCTCACAAACCTTCCTATATAATCTGCAATGTCCTAACTAAAGATTCTGACTTGGTCTCATTTGCACAGTTTTTGTGTCATGTTTGCTTCTTCAATCCAATTAACTAGAATATTTCTCCCTCCCTTTAATATGTAATGTCACTTGATCTAATTTATGTGTAAGAGCACTACACCGTTCGTTTTCAGTGCCACACATGAAAGATACACACTTGTGTGCAGAACGTATTTTCCTTCCGCCCTAGAATACCCTTCACATGGAAGATTAATGAGGGAAATCTTTATATTCTGTATAAAAACAAAATCAAATTTATATACTAAAATCATTTGTCTAAAAATTTAAGTTGTTTTCAAATAAAAATGCATTTCTGATATGCAAAAAAAAAAAAAAAGTGGCAGGGCTGGGGATTTAGCTCAGTGGTTCCACCGCCTGCCTCACAAGCGCAAGGACCCGAGTTCGATCCCCAGTACCAAAAAAAAAAAGTGGCAATTTAAAAAGAACAAGCAGCCAGGCATGGTGGCGCACACCTATAATTCCAGCTACTCAAGAGTCTGAGGCAGGAGGATCACAAGTTTGAGGTCAATCTGGCCAATTTAGCGAGACCCTGTCTCAAATTTTTAAAAAATAATAATAAAATACACAAGGCTAGGGATGTATCTCATAGCTCCCTGGATCCAAACCCCAGTGCAACAACAACAGACAAAAATAAACAGTAATAACAACAAAAAGAAACCTAGCCCAAAATACTTAGTGCCCAGTGTTTCAGTAAATAAAAAGATGCTTATCACTACTAGGCTCTGTCTTAGCCCAAATCTGACATATATAATTTGGCCCCATTCAAGGACTTCCAATTTTCATAAAAACATAAAAGAGCAATGCTAACTTCTTTTTTAAGCAAGAAAAGACGTTATATTACACAAGTCACCATAACATTGTAAAATGATCTCATTAGTTGCCAGAGACTGGAGGAAGGGGGAATGACAAGTTGTTGTTTAATGGGTATAGTTTCAATTTTATAAGATTGGGATAAAGTTCTGGAGAATAGTTGGACCACTATAAATACACTAAACCCCGCTGATTTGTACACTTATGAATGACTAAGGTGGTAGCCCTTTATCCTTTTTTTTAAATCACAATTTAAAAATTTTAATGCAAACACGCATCTTATTTGACCTTTCTGCTGACTCTGGCCCATCTTTGAAGCGTGATTAACAGACTTCCTTGTCTGAGGTTCATGCCAATTAGACCCAACCTTTCCCGCTGTCTCGGATTTCTCTCTAGGGAACTTCATATTTCTCACCCCCTTGCAATCTGAGCTATTCACTGCTGACCACAAGAGTGCTGGGCAAACCAAAGTGTTCTGTGGTCAGCAGGATCTACTGTCCCTAGAAGACATGTGACATCATTGGACATTTATTCCTGGGACATTTATCCCAGGAAATTCTTCAGAAAATGTATTTGAACACAAAAAGTTCTCATCCTAAGAGGAATTCCAATAACTAAAAGCATTAAGATATTTAGGTTTCACACCTCATATAAAAAGTAGAAATAGAGAATAATGAGAGGTATTGTTCTGAATGACAGAAATCTCTCTTTGTCTGATGACATAATATGTATCGGTGTACAACATCACCAGATCCTTATGGACAATGATTCCCTCTTTCCTTCTTATAACCTCTCAAAATCAGAGACAATCTATGACCTTGCTGAATAAAAGTTTCTGTCTGAAGAAAAA